TGTATTCCCCTCCCCATAAATTGTGAGCCGCCCTGAGTCCCCTCAGGGAAAAGGGCGGCCTATAAATAATAAACAAATACAAAAAATACAAATACAAACACAAACACTGTATTCTATGATTTTTCAAGCAACAGGATCAAATCTTTAAGCAAATAATATTTGTCAAATTTCTGGTGTATAATTGGGAAAAGATTTTTGAAACTCTATACATTTGGAACATTGTTTTAAAATATCCACTTGATTTTTGCATGGAGTTAAAATGAAAATGGCACATATAAAAAAGAAATCTTGGCAAAATGACTTGAAATATTTAAGACAGGTGTAGGAATTAAACTTAAAATGAGAAAAACTGAGATATTCCATTAATCTTCTACTTTACTATCACTAATTACTAAGCTATTTTTCCTACATATATCCAGAGAGAAAATCTCATACATTAAGTAGTAATTTAAAAAAAAGAGCTGTAACAAAGACACATCCTGACCAGAATACACATTTCATAGTTGGAAATCAGCATCTTCTTCTCTGGCATTTATGTAGAATGGTTGGGAGAAAAATATAAAAATACTTAACAAAAGTTATACAAGGATCGGACACATTTTGCTGCTTCATTGAACACCTACTCCCTTTGGATACTTTCTACTGAATTACTACAAAGAGTAATTCATTTCAGTTTGATCACTTCTTTCATCAAAGAAGAGTACAATCCTTTAACATAAAAAGCATGGGTGGTCCTAATAAAATTTTGCCAAAGGATAGCATTAAAAAATTTGGGGTTTTAATGGGGCATATTTGTCCACTGAAAGACATGTATATTTTCATCATCTACAATTTTGCAAGCTGTTATGTTTGGGGCCAAATACTTAGGATTACACAAATGGGAAACAAATGTCCTTCTTCTAAGGCAGAATTTCTTAAACCTTTTGCTTTCAGGAACCCTCTCTCCACCACACTTTTAAAAATAAGAAGTGTTTGTATGATATTAACTGTATTAAAAATGAACACTGACGCATTTGTAGAATATTTATTAAATCAGGTAAAAATAACATGAAACCATTAGACATGAATGTAAGTAAATTTCTCGTGGAAACTTTTATTTTTTTTAACAAATAAAAAGTAATGAAAAGAATGTTTTAAATTTTTGCAAATGTATTCAATATTTGGCAAATAATTTTGATTTTTCAGACCCCTAAGGGAGTCTTAAGGGACATCCAGAGATACTCAGATCACACTTTTAAGAAACATTCAAAGGTATTTGTGAACCATTCATCCAGACTGATATTCAATTATTCCATCTATTACAGAAACCTATTCTCTCCACTTATGTTACTGATAACTTACATATGTGCCCTCAAATAACATTGAATCTGATATATTCAGTTATTCAAAGTTATTGAAAACCCTTTCTGGATCTCATTTAATAAATTTGCAAGTGGCAAAACTTCCATGAACTGAACAAGCAAGTCTTTACCACCCTCTGCTGTTCAAATAGTGACTATGCACTTTTAATATTATTTAATTACTCCATTGTTCTAAAAATAGGGACAGGTGTAATGAGCCAGGAAAGAGCGTTATAATCTGAATCTTGATGGAATAATTTAATTTAATCTAGGACCAGAAAATGGTACTATCCAATAGACGCATACTGTACCTATCTCATTCAAAATAGCCAATAACATTTTCATTTTTTGTTCTTGAAAGGAACTGACATATGGTTTAAACCTCTCGATACTAAGAAACGAATAGTCACAAGAATAAGGCAGGGGGCTTTTGTTCTCCACTGTGAACAGGGCGCTGCTCATACAAGAAGAGATTTCAGAGTGTTTTATAAAAAGAAAATTATCCTTACATACTTGGACTTCTGATACTTTCCTATACAATGAGAATGGAGATTGAAGAAACCAACTGCCTTTTTCAATTGTTTCGTTCAGATATAGAAAGCATGAGGGCAGGCAAGCACCTTCACAAAACTGGTCTGCCCCGCCTCAAGGGAGCCCCCCTTTTCCTTGCTTATGTAATATCTCAGTGGCCCCAAACGTTTTGAGCACCAAAGACCGGTTCTGTGGAGAGAGTTTTTTCCGCGGACCGGAGGGAGTGTGAGTTTGTATGCTGCCTGTATCCTGCGGATGGGGCTTCATTTGTTTGCACGGCTCTGTTTCTGGCCTGCTGCAGCCCAGTTCCGGTTCTGGTCCATGGACAAGGGGTTGAGGACCCCTGCAATAGCTGCACAGTTCCAGGAAAATACAAGTAGTCCTTACTTACCAATTGACTTGTTTAGCAAGTGTCTGTAGTTACAACAGCATTAAAAAAAAAAAAAAAACCCAGCTTTGTAACTAGTCGTCACATTGATGACCATCGCTGCGTCCCTCAGTCCATGAATATCATTTGGGTGTTTCACAATTGGTGCACATTTATAACTACTGTAAGTGACCCACAATCATGACATTGCCACTTACAGGCTTCCCAAAAAGCTTGCAACAAGCAGAATTAATGAAGAATGCAGAAATAAAACCACAAGTTATGGTAATGTGATATTTCACTTAATGACCATGTAAGTTACTTAACAACCAAATAGGAAGGAATATCTGTTGTGCGATTTTTTTTTTTGCTTAGTAGCCAAGGTGCTTAGCAACCAAGTTGCCTGTCCAGTTGCGGTCACTAAGTGGCATCTACTTTTACCCTTTTAGGCTAAGGAATTGGCATTAGGGTATGAGGACATGAATTTTATTGTTGTCTCGTTAACTCAAACATGTACTTTCCTAAAACTGCAAAGTTATGGCCCCAATACAGAAGACAAAGGTCCCTAAAGGAGATGGGGACAGCTGCAACCAGGATGCCCATGTCCTCTCCAAATCATTGCTTATATTTGGGGTCCAAACAAATTCATCCCATGACTTTCCTTTCAGCAGACAATTAGAGCTTCTTTGCAAATTGTTAATAAAGATGTATGCTTTAATTAAATTTAAAGACTTTAATTTTTTTTCTTCCATTTAACGTGTCCGATTCTCAGAGGCTGTCTGTACAAGTTCCTGCAGTTTCCTTGGCAAGTGTTTTCAGAGGTGGTTTAACCATTGCCTCCTTCCTCGAGCTGAGAGAAAGTGACTGGCTTAAGATCATCCAGCTGGCTTTATGCCTAAGGCAAGTCTAGAACTCACGGTCTCCTGGTTTCTAGGCTGATGCCTTAATCACTACATCAAACTGGCTCTCAAAAATCCCATGTATCATTCAGTAAATAATTCCCTTAAAATATATATAAATGTTTTGTTCTGCTCTCTTCAGAAAGGTAAGCCCGAAGGTAATCTGGCATCGATCAGCTGCAGCACAAACATCTGTAGTATTTATTGAAAGACCTCATCATACGTTGCTCTGCTACTTCTCCAAACTTCTAATCAATTTTCACAGTTGATTATATATTATATATGTTTTGAATATATTACCATAATAAAAACAAATATGCATTTAATTTTCCTCAAACTTTAATGGCTTAAAACCTTTCAAGCAATTATATTACACAGAAAATATCCCCAGATTTTATCATTCAAATTCAAAGAAACATATTAATAATGATGAGTTCTGGGGCTTCATACATGGGTTTCTTTAACATATCAGGATAGCAGAAAAAACCATTACTACCAACCTGCCTTCCATTGAGAACCTGTACACTGCATGAGTCAAAAAGAGGGTCGTGAAAATATTTACAGACCCCTCGCATCCTGGACATAAATTTCAACTCCTACCCTCAAAACGATGCTATAGGGCACTGCACACCAAGAAAACTAGTCACAAGAACTGAACGCCATCACTCTGCTAAACAAATAATTTCCTCACCACTGTCAAACAATTCAATAAGGCTGCATTACTATTAGTCTTCTCATCGTTCCTATCACCCATCTCCTCCCATTTATGACTACAGGACTGTAACTTTGTTGTTTGTATCCTTACAAGTTATATTGATATTGTTTCCTGATTACATATTTGTATCCTATGACTATCATTAAGTGTTGTACCTTATGATCTTGTATTTTTATGTACACTGAGAACATAAGTACCAAAGACAAATTCCTTATGTGTCCAATCACACTTGGCCAATAAGAATTCTATTCTATTCTATTCTATTCTATTAATTCTATTCTATTCTATATGGGTATTTTTCATTTGATTTAATACATTTTCAATAGTAAGCAATCAGTTTTGTTTATTGAGGCAACAACATATGTACTAAAACTTATCAGTTAACCAAGTGAAAGCTTGGGTTTTGTGCTCCTGGAATCCAATGGAGCTGCAAAAGTATTGTCTAAAACAGCTGCTAGGACAAAATCTTGGAGTCCCCTGTTCCCTCCCTCAATTATCAGCTCTAAATCTTTGAAGTAAGGAAGTGAGGACAGTTATCAGAAATCTTAAATATTTATACCCACATGCCGACATAGGCACAACTCAGGTTTCCCTGTAGCCAAATAAACTTCTGACTGCTTATTTTTTTACCTGAAGGATGTTGTTCCACTCTCTCTTATTTTATTTCTCTGAACAGGAGACGCTTCAAGCGATAGAAATTTGTTTCCTGCCAAGGTAATTTGTTTCACAATGGAGCCTAAAAAAGATAAACAATCCAGAACAGAAAGCAAAATCCAAAATGACATTTCACCAAATGCACAAAAAACTATAAAGGCTATATCTAATTCTGAAGTGAAAACATATGCATATATCAAGGTCAAAAATCCATTGTACTTGTATAGTTGTTCTACTAGGGCATGGAAAAGAGCAATATTCTTGATAGACATGGAGGCTTCACTAAAGTCTATACTGTAAGTCACCTTCAAGTACAGATAATGAAATAACTACTTGATTAGAAGGAGGCAATTGCTCAAATAAAGAGTCAATTCTAAACAGCCTATTCTCTCTTATAGACAAACTGCTGAAAGATTTCCCCACCCCCACCCCCATGCAACTGAATAATTACACTGTTTATTTGTTGATAAAGTATTGTGACAATCCGCCTACTCCTGGGATATCACAATACTTTTCTATTACGGAAAACTATTTCCAACATGGAGTATTTCAGCTGTGGGAATGCTGAGAACTGCAGTCCTAAGCATCCCAGCTGTATTTTCAACTCTACAAGCACCAAAAGGATTCAACCACAGCACTTATTAAATTGTATTTTTTTAATCTGCCCTTTAGCAGCCATATCAGAATATATTTATAACCCCCATCAAAATTTATGAATATTAGTTATCTCCATTTCAGCAACACAATACACAGCAACAGATCATAGCTACAGTACATTTCTGCAACAATTCTGTATCTATTGTTCAGAAATTTAATATGAGGCTAATAGAAACTGCAGGGATGAAAGGCAACTTCCAAAGGATTCATCTTTTAGCTCAACCACAAAATGATTCCTATTCTCAATATGCCAACTTCTCAGCTTACATTCAAGCTCTATTCTAGTTTAATAAATTAATAACATATTTAATTTTAAAAGCCTCACTCAGACATGATGCCAAAACTAGAACCTAGAAGTGCTGTCTTTTTGGTTAAAGCGTAAGTCACTTGCAACACAATGTTATCTGCAGGGAGATGCCTACCTTGGATAAAAGCGTTCAATGGTCTTTTTTCACATAACTTGTTCACATTAGGGAGAGTAGGAACCTGCTGATGCTTGGCCACATTTCTTAAGATGTTTCCAGAGGGTTGCTGGACTGCCTAAGAATGTGGAGGAGAAATATTATTATATATATACTCCTTTTTAAACAGAAATATAACTAAAGCTGAATTACATTAAGCAATAGCAATACAATACAATAGCAGAGTTGGAAGGGACCTTGGAGGTCTTCTAGTCCAACCCCCTGCCTAGGCAGGAAACCCTATACCATTTCAGACAG